GGTCAGTGTGAGGGAATGCAATTAAGTTTGGAATTAGGCTTACAGCGCATTTATGTGAACATGTGGAGTGTGGTATATAAGGTTAGTGAGCTGCATGCTGAGGAAGCCATGTGGAAGTATAAGGCTGTGGAGATACAAGAGACCTGGCTGAAAAACATACAGAATACTAAGTACTAATTACTGGTCACTAAATTTTCCTGGATGATAGGGAAGGAAAGATAGGAAGAGGGATAGCAATATTGTTTAAGGATAACATCACAGTGCTGGAGAGAGGATGACCTAGAGGTAGCAAGGACAAAAGATATTGGGTCAGAGATATTGAACAATAGATGTACCATTATACTGTTGGAGCGTATTCTATAGGCCTCCAAGTATTGAGAAAGACAGAGAAATAAAATTAGAAAGAAAATAGAGAAGTTATGTATTGTTATAATGGTGGGATTTAATTATCTTACTATAGCTGAGAGAGCAACAGTAGAAAGGACAGAGAGGAGGAAACTTCTAATGTGCGATCAGGAACATTTTCTACATCAGTATGTTTCAGTCCAATGAGGAAGAAGCTCCCTGCCAGATGTTGCTATAGGGAATGAGGTGTGACAAGACGCATCAAGCCAATGGGTTCCCAAGCTGTGGTCCTGATTTCCAATGGAATTGCAGATATAGATTTTGTGGTTGTACACTCTCCTTCCTTTGACTTATCAATGGTGACTGTGGAGAGGATACTCTGTTCTGACCACACCAACCCATTGCCTGCTAGCACCAAACTGCAAAGAGGTAAATGGTGAGCCTAAAACACCCTTTAATATTCAGAAGCACTTAGAACTGCAATTATTGTGCAGGACCAGGATGTTTGTGCATTGAGTGGTGCAGGCAGAGGCAGGTAAATGAAATTTAGTCACTGAGTGCAAACAAAAATCATGCAGCTGAGCCAGGAAGGCAAGTGGCTACTTCAAACTTTACTGTGTTTCAGGAGATAGCAAGAACTGCAGATGCTGGAAGTCAGAATTGATACGGCATAGAGCTGGAGGAACACAGCAGGTCTGGCAGCATCAGAAGAGCAGGAAAGTCAACATTTCTGGTCAGGACCCTTCATCAGGACTGAGCATTATAACATTAAGTATATAGTTATTTAAGTAATTATAAATTATTAATTTTATAATGCATCATATAAATATCAAAACATTTATTTTTAAAGTACTTTGTAAAAACGTTATTTTGTATACTCATGTAGGTTCCAAGCTCTCCACGTTCCCTGGTGACAAGATTCTTGAAGCCAAGTTAAATTCTTCTTAAATATTATTAGCTTATCACAGTAATGCATTTCATTTTCTAGAAGCCTTTGCTGTAAAACAGGCAAACAGGAGCTGAACCACAGTAAAGAGTCAATACAGTGTGGAGGTGGAGGAACACAGCAGGTCAGCAGCATTAGAGGAGCAGGTTTTTGCTGGTGTCTGTAGTCACCTCATTTTCAAGCATTAAAATGGTCTTTTACTTTGAACAATAATTTCAGAAGTAGTGTATTAAGGGAAACTTTAGAAGACAGTGTTCACACTCTCATAGAATTTAGGCTGTTTGTAGGGAAAAGGTAAAGAACTACGCAATGTATAAACAATTGGGTAAGATTAATTTCTGTGAGAACGAAAATGGCAAAGATTGGCGGGTAAAACTGTAATTGACCATTGGGTTATCCGTGAAGAGGAGATAGTTCAGCTACAATAAAGGATGATGATACTGGCAAAATCATAGTGAAAGCAGAGGCAGTTGAGCCACTGAATGGATTAAAAGTGACAGAGAGTTATTAGAAATACTGGCTGAAATTGAACTGATATTGATAAGTCAACAGTACCATATCAATCACAGTCCAGAATACTGGAGGAAGTAAAGATGGAAATTGCAATCCATTGGTTATCATTTTCCAATCTTTCTTAGACACAGGGCTGTATCTAAAAGAAACCCCAGCAACCACAGTATAGCCTCTGTGGTAGTACAGCTTTTTTAGATGTGATAAATTAGGACAAAATTCATTGCCCCTTGGAAAAAGATGAATTAAATTAAGGAAAGTCAGCACAGACCTATTATAAAACAGTGGCTTCACGGGCTTGCAATTGATTAAGTGACAGGAAACAGAAGTAGTGAATGAGACAACAGTGTGGAGCTGGAGGAAAACAGCAGGCCAGGCAGCATTAGAGGCACAGGAAAGTTGACGTTTCAGGCCGGGACCCTTCTTCAAAAATAAGGAGGGGGAAGGAAGCTGGGAAATAAATAGAGAAAGGAAGGGTGGGGCTGGGGAATGTAGGTGGGATGGTGATATGTGAGTACAGGTAGGGAGTGGTGGGGATTGGTTAGTGGGATGGGTGGGGAGGATAGGTGGGAGAGAAAGAGAGATAACAAGGTGTAGAGCTGGATGAACACAGCAGGCCAAGCAGCATCAGAGGAGCAGGAAGGCTGATGTTTCAGGAGAGAAGATGGACAGGTTGTGTCAGGTCAAGGAGGCGGGGATGAGAGGGACGGTTGGACAGAGGGTTGGGTTGGGGAGGTTTTAAAACTGGTGAATTCCATGTTTAGGGCGTTGGGCTGTAGGTTCCCAGGCGGAATATGAGGTATGGCTCCTCCAGTTTGTGGGTGGCGTCATTGTGACACTGGAGGAGGCCCAGGATAGACATGTCATCCAGGGAGTGGGAGGGGGAGTTAAAATGGTTGGCGAGTGTAAGGTGGAATGCCCCATCTTGGGAGCAGATGCGGCAGAGCTGGAGGAATTGGGAATAGGGGATCGTATTCTTGCAGGAGGGTGGGTGAGAGGAGGTGTAGTCTAGGTAGCTGTGGGAGTCAGTGGACTTGAAATAGATGTCAGTTTCGAGGCGGTCACCAGAGATGGAGACAGAGAGGTCCGGGAAGGAGAGGGAGGTCCAGGTGAATTTGAGAAGCACCCGCATGGGCCCAAGCTATGCCTACCTCTTTATAGGATATGTGGAACAGTCCCTTTTCTGCTGTTACACTGGCACCATCCCCCACTTCTCCCTCCGCTACATTGATGACTGTATCGGCGCTGCCTCGTGCTCCCACGAGGAGCTTGAACAGTTCATCAACTTTACTAACACCTTTCACCCCAACCTCAAATTCACCTGGACCATCTCTGATAACTCCCGGTCCTTCCTGGACCTCTCTATCTCCATCTCTGGTGACCACCTGGAAACTGATATCTATTTCAAGCCCACCGACTCCCACAGCTACCTACACCTCACCTCCTCTCACCCATCCTTCTGCAAAAATGCGATCCCCTACTCCCAATGCCTCCGCCTCTGCCGTGTCTGCTCCCAAGATGGTTTTCCTCCCACAGTCCAAAGATGTGCAGGCTAGGTGGATTGGCTATGCTAAATTGCCCATGTTCAGGGATGTTTAGCTTAGGTGGGTTATAGGGGGATGGGTCTGGGTGGGATGCTCAAAGGGTCGGTGTGGACATGTTGGGCCGAAGGGCCTGTATCCACACTGTAGGGATTCTATGATCTATGTTACTTGCTCCACAGATGCTGCCAGATCTGCTGAGTTCCTCCAGCATTCTGTTTGTTTCTGATTTGCAGCATCCGCAGTTCTTTGCTTTTATTTGAAATTTGAAAAGGTATTTGTACTGGAGAATTTACAACAAATCTGATATAATTTCTAACTTTTTTGTCAGAAATGACTTTCTGGAGCATGGTTGTCTTAGATTAATGTTTCTATATTCCTGATCACAGCTGTTTAAGATAACCTGGATGTTTCCAGGTGTGAATGCATTAACTGACAATAATTCTTAACATTGTATTTATCAAATTGCCAAATTGCCAGAGTTTCGAAATAAAACAAGGGGTCTGACTGACCCAAGTTAAAAACAAAGCTGTGATATACATTCAGAATTACAGCAGGCTTAAAAACAAGTGTCAAATCAGTGTTTAAAACTAAAATGTTGGGGGGTCACATGCCCTAGTAAATAGATTGTATACCTTCAGCCCTCATACCTCTTTCCAATAATTTTGAAATTGTTGGCAGCAATAGGTTCAACTATTGCTACCTTAAAAGGACAGAAAATTAAATCAATTGACATGGTTAAATAGCAATGCAAACGGAACTGGAAACGTGGTGCTGCTTATAAACTGTGGCAGGGGAGGAGGAGCTGGACAAGTGGTGGTCACTGGCTATCCTTGCCAGGGTCATTTACTTTGCTGCCTTTGTCACTTGCAGTTTTCATCTTCAGGTCGTCAACTCCCAGCTTGGCTGGTAGGTCTGCCAATCTCCACACTGGAGGGTCATGGGAGGTCATCCATTGTTGGGGAGTCTGCCAGCAGTCCCAGTCTGGACAGTTAGCACAGACCTGGCTACAGCTTTGAAAATTCTAGTGGCTATGCTTTAGGTCAGGTGTTGGACTCACACACTTTTCCAGTTCCCAACCAGATTGAAAATCCAGTCTACGGTTCTTTAGTATCTACTATTCCATTGGGTGACATAACTCATCATTCAATCTGAACTCTCTCTCTCTCTCTTTCTGTGAAGACTCCAAATTAATTATTCTTGTAAAGTTGAAAAGTACACTCTCCATAAATGACTGAGACATAACCAAATTAATATATTTTAAACTTCAAAGTCCAGAAAAACTTACTAATAACAAACTTCATAGAAACTTTTTTTGAACTGGATAGATTGGTTCCTCCAGGAGATAACTGACTGACAATTACATTGTGACCAAACTCCTACGGGAAATTGACAGGAATGAACTACTTTAATGATATGAATGACTTTTGTCTGTTTTTTTCATTTTTAAAAACTGGCAGCTTGCTCCCAGGTATCTACCAAAGTCACTCCAAATTGCTGCCTTTAAAATTAATTGACAGTACCTCAGGATGGGTCATTTTCTGCTGCGCAATAATCTACAAAGACTCAGCCAAGATAAGAAATTCAATGCCTATATCTTGTTTCACTTTGGTAAGGCATAATTTTGTTTTAATTTTGAAATGAAAATGCAAAACCAGTGAGGTTTACACCTGAAATGATTTAATTATGAGAATACCTTTACAAAACATGAACAACATCTTGCTTACATGATTTTACAGGATCGTGTACAGAAAACAACAAATGAATATACATAATTTAGAGGAACATTTTGATAATGCACAGCAATGCAATAGCCCTGATAAGACAAAATGGAGTTCTTACTCACAATAAGCAGCCTTTATGTAATTGGTGCCTGTCCTCTGAATCAGATTACTACATGAAGCACACCCAGGTTTTTATATATTGATTTCATTTGGATGTGTGGAATATAACATTTTCATTAGAGACTGTACTTCCTGGTACTATTATGCCATATGTCAGTGCTTTTGTGTCCTTAATGGAAAACAAATGTTTACACAATAGCATTAACTCCACACACAGCCAAATTAAACCATTAACTAATCATTCTTTTGGATGGCATTTGAAAAAGATATTAAAAATTGACTTGTTTTCAACAAAAGAAAAATTCAGGCATAAAACCCTATTGACTGGGATACCAGTTAATTTTCAATACAAGGTCCATTTTATATTATGTGGGAGTCATCACCAGAAGGAGCCATACCAAGGATGATCATTTTTTTAAAAAGCTACAAAATTAAAGTGAGCTATTTTCAACATAAATGGGAAAAAGCAAAAGGTACAACAAGGCAGGAAAGTGAGGCTGAGAGAAAATAGAAGATATGGCAAATAGGAACTGTATTAAAAACATTTATTGTGCAGTAAAGAAGCTACTTTCAAAATCTGAGTAATTCTATTCCAGCAGTATTCGAATTTGTTTCAATGATGTTTGCAAACTGAAAATCTTTGTTAAAATGTGTTCAGTGAGCAAGTTGGAAATTTCCCTGGTCATCAAGTGTTATATTTAAAGACTTAAGCCAATCTTACTGCGGGTTTCATATCATCATACATACCCTGTTCAGAAAAGTTGAGCATTTTTGTTTGCTTTTGTTGATAAAGGAGCTACAAATAATTGTGCACATTAAGTTCTGATTTTTTTGTTAAGTAAAAGTACCTTCCCATTCCTTGGTGAGTCAAATTTCTTGTACTTACACTTCATGTAAAATTTCTCAGCATCTAAGCCAAAGATTTTTCTATGAGTTACCTATTCAACTAATTAGCAATAGGTATTAATAGTGTACACTTAATAGGGAGTGAATGAAATATGCTTAATTTCATGAAGAAGAAATCTATGAAGAAGTCTGTAAACTGGTTTAGTACTTGATCAGACTCTTCCTGGGCAATCTATCCAAAGCCATGTTACAGCTGTACAAAAAGGCACAAATTCCTAACTTGAAGAGCAATTTTTCTCTTTAAGATGCAAGAACAAGACTGACAAAGCTCACTCATTTAGTCAAACATGAGCAAGAACCTTCCCCTCCTCACATCACCAACTTCCTGCACAATCTGTATGGATTGGATTCAACAGATGCTGGCAGCACTCCAGGTGATTGTAGGTTCACATAGACAAAAAAAAAAGTCAGTTAATTTTAATGTATATGACCATGGTCAGATCATTATAAACCTAATCTTGTTCTGGTGTAATAGTTTTTCCTGTTACATTTCCAGTATTTCTATGCTACCTTTTCAATAGGCGCTGATTTCATGCCGAGTAAAGTTCCACAGGAACTCTCCAGTACTTGGCCAAATATGTAATATTGAAGTATGAGCCTCAACAGTAACCACTGGCAATGATTCCTACCAATTGATGAAATGGGGCAGGGGAAGGCAGGGTACGTAGCAACATTATAATTGTCCATTTTCCACAAAAATAGGCCTTCTGCAGGGATCAATTCATTACAAATCAGCAATGATTGCTCTAGTTCATCATCCTCTTGTTTACCCGAAAGGTGTAATGCCACGATGGTAGCCTAGAATGAAATTAGACAAAATCAGTGCATATTAGACATTAAATCTGAAGTCTGTATGCATGGCTTAAACAAATATATTGGAAACAACATTTGTGTTGATGTGCTTTCTGATTGTTCTAGGATTTTGGTTTTGAGGATGGAAAAAATGGAATATTGGGTCATAGTGCTTTATATTAGATGTATATCATAATATTGTCCTGTAGAGTCTTGCCATATTGAGACATCAACTGTGCAGAAGAACTTTATTCAAGAATGCCAAGTTTCTTTTTCCCAAGATTTTGTTCCAGCATTTACTTAATTTAACATCAATTATAGACATTACTGCTTTCACAAAAGAATTATAAATTAAATGGAATTTCTGTGCAGTATACAGCTGCAGTTTTAAAACAAAATTGAGGCTCTTTTGAAGACTGAATATGAAAACAAAAACATAAATATCGAGTGACTACAAATGTAAGAATTTGAATACTTACATTTTTTAAAATCTGTTAATACCCACGACCACTCTCTGGAGGTTCCATTCAAATACTCATCCACATGCAATTCCTCAACATTTGCATAACTGGCAGAATTTTAAGTTCTGATATTTTGCACTAAATTTAAAAATATTACACTAGAAGCAAGCCTAGTCCATAACACTGACCATGATTCAGAATAAGTTAATTATCGAGAGTTTATGATAATGGTGTTTGTCTGTCAACTTGAAGGTCCAAAACTTAAGGAAGAATTTTTAAGCACAAGGGCATTTATTAGTATGTTTTGATTTTTGTTGGAAAAAAAAAGGACTGACTTTATTGTAAAAAAATCAGGTCACAGCCGAAGGGCCTATTCCTATGCTGTATAGTTCTATGTTCTATGTTCCATGTTCACACACACACAGGTTGGATTGAGACTGATGTGAAGTGTTTATTTTTTAAATGACAAATCCATGTAATAATGAAGCTTTACAGATTTACCACAAATATTTTGAGAAATTTATTTTGAATTACATTAAATGTGTTTTAAAATGTTGCCTAATTCATAACTGATTTTGTGTTCAGTGATATGGAAACAGAATGATTGGAAACTCAAAGACAGTCTTTTCAACATGGATGTAATCTGCATTGGAATCATCAAATGCACTCAGAATGGAAAATTTTACCCCATTGCATTTTAATAACTAATCTTCTTCAGAATCACTGTTGCTGTTTAATGGAGCACTTGTCCTGATAGATGACATCAATTTATCTTCAATTTGTCTTCTTGGGTTTTCCTCTAGTTCAGTTTTGATTGCACCAGAATCTGACAGTTTCCATTCCAGTTCTTCATTGAAAATAAAGCAAGGAGACAAGAAGATAGAAAGACAATAAAAGGAACTTACAATATTATTTAATTCAAAAAGATTTTAAAAAAATCCTCTTCCCTACATTCCTCCAAATGGAACTTATTGTCATTCCGTATATATTAACTAACGGGCATAAAGACTAAATTGCAATATACAAATGTACATTCCAATGATTTAGATCAGGATTGTATTGTATACATTACGATTAAAAGTCTCAGTAGATCTGATGACCCACATTCTTCAAAGGTCACCACACTAAATCTGTTAAGAAAAAAATGGTGTGTGATCTGACACTTATTTTAATCAAATAGCTAATTGACTACTTATAAATGAAGAATGTATTAGCAGCAGTTAATTGTCTAAATTGCTGAAATCATTTTGACATTGATTTGAGTCATCACCTAAAACGTACTGACATTAGGGTCACGGATGGTTCTTAAAGAAAATAGCTGATTTTAACCATCAATAGCGGCATGGTGGCTCAGTGGTTAGCACTGCTGCCTCACAGCACCAGGGACCTGGGCTCGATTCCACCCTCAGTTTATGTGGAGTTTTTACGTCCTCCCCGTATCTGCATAGGTTTCCTCCGGGTGCTCCGGTTTCCTCCTACAGTCCAAAGTTGTGCAGGTTTGGTGGATTGGCCATGCTAAATTGCCTGTAGTGTTCAGGGATGTGTAGATTAGGTGGATGGGTTTGGGTGGGTCGCTCTGAGGGTCGGTGTGGACTTGTTGGGCTGAAGGGCCTGTTTCCACATTGTAGGGATTCTATGATTCTATGAATAGCATTATAAACCTTTGGGAAAAAAGGAGACATTCATTTGAGAGATGTATCCCATACTGAGAGATTCGGGTACAATTTAAGTACTTACCTGGAACTTAAATTCTTAGCTGTGTCTATTATACTGCCTCCCAATCTAAATACTTTCTTGACTACTGCTTAGTACCCTGCCTGTGGTTCACTCCTGCCTAGTGCAGCCAATTATCTCTCTCCCAGCATCAGTTCATGATGAATCAGTTTGTTTTTAATCTTTTTCCCCGCTAATATAGTTCATCCTGCATGTACTGTGAACAGAGTTATGTAAATTGTCATAAATGGTACACATTACAATGCAATAAATAATGCACATTAAAAATGTGCACATGTAAACTAGCGAACTTTCATCAATAGTTAAAGTCATTACCTGCAATTTCGAAAAAGCAAGTGACCCAACAAGCAGCACAGACATGTTTAAAGAAGCAGTAATTGAAGTCTGAACTGCAGATAGTGAGTTAGAGAGAGACCTGAAGAAAATCTGTTTATGTTTCATGCAACAGATGTTGAAAGCTGTGACTTTTAACTGATAAGTCAGAGACTTTTTAAATGAGTGAAGTAGCCAGCTTGTGTCTCTTACCAACTAGTGAAAGATTCCGGAGAGAAAGATGACTGAAGCAACATGCTGGCCAGTGGAAAAGTCATAAAGATCAGTTCAACTACAGAACTTGGGAATGAAGACTATCTTTACATTTTTCCCCCCTGTCCATTTCACCCAGTCTGTTTGTCTGTGTGTGTAAGGGGCAGTTTATAAGGGGATTACGGTTTTTAATTAGTGGTGTTATATACCGATGATTTGGAGCTGTTCACTCATAGCTAGAGTTTAATTACTTGTAACGAAAAATAATTCTGAAATGCAAAAACCTGATCCAAGCTTATTATCAATCTGGGCCTGAAAAAAAAAAATCAGTAAATTGGGGAACTTGGCGTACTTTTTATTAATTTTTTTGACGTTTCTGGGAATAGCAAGGCTCAATTTTCAGCGCAATACCCCAGTGAGGCACAACACTAGCATCAGAAAGGGAAGGAGCCAGAAACACACATTCAGAATGTAGTCATGCTCATTACATGTTGGATATTCCTAGAGTCAGAGTTGTACACAGCTCATAAATGGGCCCTTTGGTTCAACTTATCAGTGCTGACCAGAATGATTGAAATCCCATTTTCCAGCATTTGGCTTATATCCCTCTAAACCTTTCCTATTCATATACACATCCAGATAGCTTTTAAAATGTTGGAATTGTACTAGCCTTCACCTCCTCCTTTGACAGCTCATTCCATACATGCACCATCCTCTGCATGAAAAAGTTACCCGTTGGGTCCCTTTTAAATCTTTTCCCTCTCACCTTAAATCTGTGCTCTCTACTTTAAGGCTCCTCCACCCTGGGAACAAGACCTTGGCTACTCACCATGTCCATGCCCCTCATGACTTTATAAATCTCTATGAGGTGTGTCTCCCGCCCCACCCCAGCCTCCGACGTTCCAAGGAAAAAAGCCCCAGCTTATTCAGCCTCTCCCTACAAATCAAATGGTCCAGTCCTAGCAACATCCTCGTAAATCTTTTCTGCACTCAAGTTTAACAACATCCTTCCTGTAGAAGTGCGACTAGAATTGTATGTAGTACTCTAAAAGTGGCCTCAACAATGTCTTGTAAAGCATCAACATGGCATCTCAACTCCTGTACTCATGTTCTGACCAATGAAGGCAACCATGCCAAAACACCTTCTTCACCACCCTGTCTACCTGTGATGCCACTTTCAAGGAAATATGCATCTGCAGCCCCAGGTCTTAGTTCGACAACACTCCCCAGGGCACTACATTTAATTGTATAAGTTTGGCATTTTTTGAAAAAAAAATGAACAAACTTACATTTATATAACACCATTTCATAAAATACAAAATGCTTTCGTCGTGAAGGAAATACTTTTGAATCACAGTGAATACTAGAAGGTAGGCAAACACAGTAGTCAACTTGTGCACAGCAAAATCTGACAAATGCTATGAGATAAATGTCAGTTGATTGCTTTAGTGATGTGGATGAGGTATAAGTACTTGCCCAGCCGCTGGGGTACTTTTTATGCTGCTGCATCAAGAAGATGCTGAAAGGTGATGACAAGTTGGATGTGAAGATGTTTCCTCTTATAGGAGAATCAAGAACTACAGAATATTTAAAAAACACAGGTTGCCTGTGTAAAACAGAGATGAGGTAAATGTTCTTCTTTCAGAGCATCGAGTGTCTTTGAAGCTCTCTTCCTGAAAAGGTAGAATCATGAATATTTTTAAGGCAGAGGTAAATAGATTTTTTTGAGGGGTGAATGGTCATCGGGGGTGGCAGGAAAGTGGATCTGATATTGCAATCAGATCAGCCATGATTTTACTAAAATGGCTGAGCAGGTTCGAGGGGCCAAATGGCCTGCTCTCTGTTTGCACGTACTGCTGTACCCACACTTCAGGAGGAGATAAATCATGTATAGTTCTTCTGATAACGTTCTTGTTTTAGTAACACAACAGCCACTGGCCTGCGTGACCCATGAGAGCAAATAAAAAGTTGTGTTGAGTTTGCTGCAACCTGTTCCTTCAATTAAAAGAAAAATCCAACTGATTAATTTTCCACAATAGCTCTGGCTCATAAGTATGGGAAAACCAGGCTGAAGAGTACAAACTGTCCACTGAGGTAATGGAAAAAAAATCTACAACAGCTCAGTGCTGTGCTGTACTGTACCTGTAACATAATACACAAAGACTGGTTCTTGAGAACACAACTTAGTGCTGAATAAAAGCTCCCAAAACACACGACCAGGTGGAAAACAGTTTATGGTTAGTATTTTGTACTTTAATGTTCAGTACTGTGAAGTACCTCTAATGTGTCTGACATACCAATAAATGTTGAGCTTTGCAATAGGGAACAGTTAAAAATTATAGTTTAATCTGCTTTCAGGTCAAATCTTAATTTATGAACTGCATCATGTCACTCTGCGCATCCCTCACAACCTAATGCAGCTACACTAATAACTCTCTGCTCCATTAGTGGCAGCATGGAATTTCCCCAGCGTGTAATTTAGTCACTAATTGCATAGTCAATCTCACAGGAAAACAAGGAAAAGAATAAATCTCGTATGATGAAAACATGTCAATTCCACTCAAAGTTGCAAAGTCCAGACTTAGGAAATGAAGAAGTCATAAATCTCCTGATAGTGATAGCCCTATGCAATAATCTACACCTTGCTACCACTGACAAATGCATTTCCCGGAGGTCTGCAGCATTACAGATGCCAGTCTTTGCAATATTCAGTGCCTTCTTGATATCAAAGTGAATTGGCTAAAGACTATGGACCCTGACAACATTTCAGCAGTAGTAATCTGTGCACCAGAACTAGTTGTGACTCTAGTCAAGATATTCAGGCACAACTATAACAGTGACATATAGCCGACAATGTGGAAAAATTGCCCAGGTATGTCCTGTACACAAAAAGCAGGACCACTCCGATCCAGCCAATAACTACGCTATCAGTTGACTCTCGATCATTAATAAAGCAATGAAAGGTGTCATCAACAGTGCTTTCAAGCAGCATCTGCTCAACAACATGCTCAGTGATGCCCAGGAACAAAAACATAAGTTGCTGGAAAAGCTCAGCAAGTCACAGGACCCGAAATGTTAACTCTGATTTTTTTCTTCACAGATGCTGCCAGACTTGCTGAGCTTTTCCAGCAACTTATGTTTTTGTTCCTGATTTACAGCATGCGCAGTTCTTTCAGTTCTTATTCAGTGATGCCCAGTTTGGATCCACTCAGTTCCTGCCCTCATTAGCTGCAAACACGTCTGGCAGATAGAAAAATGGTCATGATTGTTGGAGGTCAGTCATTTCAGTTCCAGGACATCTCTGCAGGATTTCCTCAGGGTAGTGTGCTAGGCCCCCAATCATCTTCAGTTGCTTCGTCAATGACCTTCCCTCCATCATGAGGTCAGACGCAAGGATGTTCACCAACGATTGCTCAAGGTTCAGCACCATCTGCAATTCCTCAGATACTGAAGCAGTTCAAGACCAAATATAGCAAGACCTAGACAATATCCAGGCTTAGGCTGAGAAGTAGCAAGTAATATTTGTGCTGCAAATGTGTCAAACAAGAACACCTTCAATAACCATCACCCCTTGACATTCAATGATATTAACATCATCAAATCCCCAACTTTCAACATCCTTGGGTTATCTTGACCAAAAACTGAACTGGATTAACCATATAAATACTGTGCATAAAAAGGGATAATCACAGGTTAAAAATCCTGAAGCATATAACTCAATCCCTGACTCCCAAAATCCTTTCCAACATGTAGAGTGCATAACTCAGGAACTTGATGGAATATTCCCCATTGCCCAGATGAGCACAACTCCAACAACACATAAGAATCTCAACATCATAGTTTGCACATTCTCCACGTGTCTGCATGGGTTTCCTCCAGGTGCTCCAGTTTCCTTCCACAGTCCAAAGATGTGCAGGTTAGGTGGATTGGCCATGCTAAACTACCCATAGCGTCCAGGGAGGTGTAGATTAGGTGGATGGGTCTGGGTGGGATGCTCCGAGGGTCGGTGTGGACTTGTTGGGCTGAAGGGCCTGTTTCCACACTGTAGGGATTCTATGATCTATGACCACCTGGAACAAATAACCCTGCTTGATTGGCACCATACCCACAAACATACACTCGCTCCACCTCAGATGCACAATAGCAGCAATGTGTACTATCTATAACATGCACTGCAAATATTCACCAAGATTTCCTAGCTAGTATCTTCAAAACCCATGATCAAAACCATCTAGAAGGTCAAGGACAAAAAGTACATGGAACCATCATGACCTGCAAGTTCACCTCCAAACCACTCACCATCCTGACTTGGAAATATGACACTATTCCTTCAAGTCAAGATCCTTGAACTCCCTCCCTAATAGCACTATGGCTCTGCCCACTAAATGGATTGCAGCAGTTCAAGGTGGCAGCTCACCAGCTCCCACGAGGGATGGGCAAGCCAGTGAAGCAACATACCATAAATGAAGTTATATAAAAAAAATAGCTGGGAGTTATCAGAAACTTCGAGTAGGAACTGCTGGGTGGAAAGTGCTCACTGATTATCCCTGGGATCAAAGACAGTACTTTTTTTTGTAATTCACATTAACAATGAAGATTCAGAAGTTCAAGGCAAAATGATCAATTTTACATTGAATAATAAAACTGGAGGGTGAAACAATTTACGAATCAGGGAATGCAGCCTATAAATGAAAAAAAATGAAAATATACCAGAGGATAGCAGTGATGGATGAAATCTAATGTGGGTCTATGTTGAGAATCTCACATAAAAAGACAAAACTGGGTGAGCAAGATTGTCCTCTGCTTAGCACATTTCATGTGAATTTCCTAGTAGTTCATAGAATCATAGAATCCCTACAGTGTGGAAACAGGCCCTTTAGCCCAACACGTCCACACTGACCCTCACAGCATCCCAACCAGACCCATTCCCCTATAACCCACCTAAGCTACACATCCCTGAACACTATGGGCAATTTAACATGGCCAATCCACCTAGCCTGCACATCTTTGGGCTGTGGGAGGAAACCGCAGCACTTGGAGGAAACCCACGCAGACACGGGGAGAATGTGCAAACTCCACACAAACAGTCGCCCGAGGGTGGAATTGAACCCTGGTTCCTGGCACTGTGAGGCAGCAATACTTCAGTTGGGTTGCCAGGTCCTAGTGGTCCCAGAGGTGAGACAAGGAGAACCAGGGCGGTCTGTGAGTATCACGGAACTGTAGGAAACCAAACAACAGAGATGCCACTCAACCCATTGCATCTGTGCCAGCCCTCTGAAACAGCAATCGAACTGGTCTCACCTCCTTCCCCTTCCCTATAGCCCTGCATGTTTTTTTCCCCTTCAAATATTTATCAAACTTTTCGTAGTTACTAATAAATCTGCTTAAGTTGCCCTTTCATGCAATGTGTTCCAGATTGGATCAACTGTATTTGGAATATTGTGAGCAATTCTGAGCCCTGTAGGGAGCGGTCCAGAGGAGGTTTACAAGAATGATCCCAGGGATCAAGGGTTTTTCATATGAAGAGCAATTGAGGACTCTGGGTCTGTACTCAATGCAGACCCAATTTTCATGTGTAGAAAACTAATCCCTTGTTTCCAATAGTCTGCCAAAAGGAGAGGTCCATGAAATATCAAAATCTGAATTTCATACTCCCTTTCTGTTTGTATAAAAACATGTTTCCTGTTTTACTTTTTTTCCTGTCCCCTAAAATTGCTTGAAGCAATAAATAGTTTGATCTGATGAGCATGAATGCCTGAGCTGGCACAGAGTCAAATCTTATCGCAATGGACTCCAGCACCAGCAATCTAAACTACTGAAAATTTCCAGTAGAAACTGTTGGAAATCCAGCATCTGCAGGACAGTCAACAGAAATATAAAAGATTGGGAAGTGTGAGGGAGAACAAAGGATTGCTCTGGGAATGCTATTGTTTCAATTCCCTGTTACACTGCCAACAAATAATTTCAGGCTGTGTTCCCATTAAGTGTTGGCAGATAACAACTACTGAGAACATTTTACTTTGGGGAACATCAGTGTTTTTAATTTATGAATGGGATGTGACCGTTACTGACTAGGCCAACATTTATTGCCCATTTCCAGTTGCCCTTAAAATAAGACACAAGTTGACAGCTCATGGTGCTGTAGTTTAAAAATGTTTAACTCTAGTTCAACTGGATCTAATGTGAATTTTCTTTTGAAAAATAATGTATGATTAAAAATAGTTGCTATTCAAGCAAACAGTCATTTGGTACAAGACTTGAGAATAGAACACAGAACAGGCCTTTCTTCCCACCATGTCTGTGCTGTCCATGATGCCATTCTAAACTAATTCCATCTGCCTGCATTTGGTCCATATCCCTCTAATCCCTGCCTGTTTGTGTGCCTGTTTAAATGCCTCTTAAACATTTCAATCATATAACATTCTAGACTTCTACTGAATTCAAATTTCACCCCCTGTCAATCCTAAAATTTGAATCCATGCCCCAGAACATTAGCCGGAGGTTCCGGATGACTAATCCAGTGACATTATCGCTATGCCAACACCTCATCAGAATGGATGAAAGAACAAAGAGACATGCTGTAGAAACTTTTCACCTTGCACTCATCAGGACACCATCACAACAATGCCAAATTTCCAAGGAACAACAGTTTATACCACATGAGGAAAGGGTGCTGATTGGTTGACACATTCTCTCAGATTGGTCGAGGCATAGCCGCAATGAATGCCCCTGGGAAATTTTGTCCTCTATAACTTTTTTGAATTAAACAAAGGCTAAATGTCTCCTCATTTGTAACTGAAAAATGGAGGCCCAGTTAACATATGTAGAAAACTACAATCCCCGGTTTCCAGTACAAATTGTTCCAGAAATGCTTTTAATTTATTTAAAGGATGTAATTCTGGGTAGGCCGACATTTATTGCATGTCTCTAATTGCCCTTGACAAATGACACGTTGACACCTCAGATGCTGTCGTTTGAAGAGAATCTAACACAATTTCAGCTGGATCTAATGTGATTTTTTTTTCTCTGAAAAATTGTGTTTGATTCTGTTTGTACAAGTTGATAACGGTTATTGGTTTCTTGGCCATATTGTCGGTTGATCATTGCAAACCGTTGTGTTATTAGCCGATTATAGACCAGTAGTCACATCCAAAGAATACTTTCCAGATTGACACACCGTTCAGCTGCTTTGTTCTCAATCAAGGGAATCTAACTTCCTTCCTTTATTTCGAGCAAGTGTTTATTCTTAAGTGGTGATCCTACCCAGAGTGTGGTCAATATGATTTACAGGCTGCAACTCAAACAATCTGGTTCGGTATCCAAGTGCTAAATAACAGCTGACAAAAAAAAAGGTCATACAACATTCAAGTCCATAAATCAGCTCTTTAAAGGAGTATTTTTCAAATAAAAGTCTTTTAAAGGAAAGCGGAGTTTATTTTTAAAAATGTCTATTAAAAAGATGACAAAGCATGAACATGGGTAATTGTAGATCTGCATTAATCAATTTTAATAATCACTTACCATCTTTTGTTAAATTCATGCCTCCAAATACTAAGGGTCCAACATACTGTGCCTTGATGTCTCCATCATGATAAACAAATATTGTTGGCAGATTCCTGTCAGGGTAGTTGGGTATACAGGTTGTGGATATTGCTTTAATAAATTTAGTCTCTGGGAACATCCTTGCTAGTTCACTCAGATGTTGATTTACCAAGGCACAAAGAGGTATCCTGAAACAAAAAAAAAGGACAAATAATTGCAAAACAATATGAAGGACATATTAAGTCATGCTCAAAATCCTTATTTAAGCAATTAAGGATGGGAGTTAAAATCTCATGTATTTATTTAGGACACAGTAACATTTTAAAATAAAACTTAAATCTATTAAATTCCAGATGGCATTAAACTATAAAATATTGGTACAAATTGGAAATATTGGGAGAAGAGATTTCAAATAATTCTCTCTCCAATGACATAATAGCAACATCAGCCATTATCTCATGTTAGCATGGTGAAATTCTTATTGCATGTTTTGTTACAGATTATGACAACACTTCTTCCATTAGAATTACACTGAGGATGAAGAGGAAAATCCCCTTCAATGGTGCCCGCTGTACACTGATCTGGTTTGCACAAAGACAGCATAACAACAAAATGAAGTTTGAGATAGCATTAAGTAAGATGAATGTTTGAGATTCAAATTGCATCTACATGTAACATACATGTCTTAGATGGTTTTTAAACTTACCCCTGTTTGTAAAGGTGCAGTATTACCCACACATCCTTGCCAGCTTTAGTCACCTCCTGCACATAGTCTGGCCCAGAGATCTCCAAAATCTCCCCAAATATCATCTTCATCTGGGTTGCCTTCCATTCGGCTAGCCGCTGCTGTCTGGATAATATTGAGTAAATGATTATCTTCTATTACAACTTTAAATAATAGCTAATCCTTCAAATTCCATCTAACAGATCTCTAATGTTTGATGCCACAGCTATTCAACAAATTTCTTTCCTATGAGAAATGTGTATACAAGAAACAGCAATTGGAATTGAAATTGCAATTGGCCTCTGGCAGGCCTGCTATGCTCCCATCTCTATCCCACTAGAATTCATGGTGGGAAGGCCGGTGAATGTTCTTCCTGCTCTGGCACTATTCAAGGCGCTGAAGTGGACAACTAATGCTCACTTTACCTCATTCCACCACTGTTGGTATTAACTCAGTAATGGGCAATAGGTGGACAGACAGAATGACAAGCACACCTGTATGCTCACTTGTGGGCTCCCCGAGGGGGTTCCCTCATTCAAACACACTAAAATGGGTCCCGGTATTGGGAAGGGGTTCCTGCTGACAGCTACCTCTTTCTTTGCTGTCAAACCCCTTTCCCACCCTCCTCCATAGCTCCCACCCAGCAGCTGTTATGTCCTGGGATCCAGCAACGATGTTGGGACCTTGGGAGGGTGCAGTAATGGCAGCCATTACTACAACCTCAGCGGCAGTGCATTCATCACAGCCGTCAGTCTCTGCCTGGCCAGAAGCTCTCAACAGGAGCCACTCCTTCCCTCAGGGTCCTTGACCCCAGGGAAGACCTGCTGCTGTCCAGCAACTGCCTGAGTGACACTTAATTTGATGGGCCTTCCTTAAAAAAAAGACCTTACAGGGCTCTTCCTGGTTTTACAGCCCAAGGCAAGACCCCATCGCCTTCATTAAATAAAATCCTGCCCGAAATAATGTGAATATGACAAAAGAGACCCTGTGAGTTTGAATCTCAAAAAAGCATGGCCAAGTAAAAAGTACACCAGCATAAAGACATCAATGCTCCACATGTCAAGTGCATATAACATAATGGATAGAATTTGCTGCAGTGGAGTATTGAACAGCATCTGCTGGCAGTTAGACTTGCCCTTCCATATTTAGATTTTCTTCAAAACTTTTATGGTGGCAAGCTGTTGAAAGCATGAGTTGGTGTTGGCACAGAGAAGGAAACTGGACTTGTGGGACCCAAGTGAACAAAAGGAGCCAACAATGTATCTTCTAAACTGACCAGATTGGGCACTTGGAAAGCAAAGACAAAAGGACAGAGAAGAAAGTATTAACTAGAATTGGTGAATTCAATGTCAAAATCAGATATACAAAAACAGAAAGAGAAAAAGACAAAGACAAAAAAAGAATAAAAGAAAGAAAAAAGGTAAAATTATAGATTTAACATTGTTAAAATCTCCAAACACTAACACTTGGAGGAATGTGATTCCACACTCAAAATCAGTAAAATCACCACATCAAGTGAGTGCAGTAACTTATGCTTGAATGACAAGGCTAACTTGCTGTGGCAAGCTTAATCATATCTATCGTGTAAACAGTGACTACACAATATTCAATACATTTCAATATGAGACAGACAACAAAATGTCATTTTCATGGAGATAAATTGACTAAGTGAAATTCCCTTGCCATTTAACCATGCAACAACTGCTTGCCTGAAGTTTATTTATTATTCATTCAGGGGACGTGAGTATTGTAGCAGGGACAGGGTTGACTGCCCATCTCTATTTGCCTGTGAGAAGCCGGTGGGGAGTTGTCTCCTTGAACCTTTACAGTCCTGCGTTACTGTGTGGAAGTTGCACATTCTCTCAGCGTCTGCGCGGGTTTCCTCCAGGTGCTCCGGCTTCCTCCCACAGTCGATGCTAAATTGCCCATAGTGCCCAGGGACAGGCAGTCTAGGTGGATTAGCCATAGGAAATGCAGGGTTACAGGGATAGGGCAGAGGTGTGGGTTTGGATGGGAATGCACCTTGGCGGGTTGCTGTGGACTTGATGGGCCAAATGGCCTGCTTCCACACTGTAGGGATTCTACAATTGTTGATTGCACATGTGTTAATACTGAGTGTTTGTAATGGAGGGAGTGGATGCGGTGCCAATCTAATAGGCTGCTTTATTCTGGATCGTGTCGAGATTCTGGAATGTTGTTGGAACTGCACTTATTCAGACAACTGGAGAGCATTTCATCTCACTCCTGACTTGTGGCTTATTGACGGTGGACAGGGAGTCAGGAGGAGAGTTGTTGGTTATTGGATTCCTGGCCTCTGACATGCTCTTCTACACACAGAAGTCTAGTCCGGTTCAGTTGCTGTGCCATTTGCCTCACTAGTAATTTAACAGTAAAATTGGGGTCTATATTAAAGCAAAAGGAAGATGAATGTGAAAATGCCACCACAGCAAATGGTAAAATTTGAATTCAAATTTTAAGAAAATCTGGAATTAAGGATCTAATGACAACCATGAACCCATTGTCAGAAAAACGAATCTGGTTCACTAAATGTCCTTTAAGGAAGGAAACTGTGATCCTTACTTGGTTTGGCCTACATGTGACTCCAGACCCACAGCAATACGGTTGATTCTTAATTGCCTACTGGGCAGTTAAGGAAGGGCAATAAATGCTGGTCCAGTCAGCGATGCCGTCATCCCATGAATGAATAAAAACAACAATTTTTAAGAAGACAACCCAATGCACAGATATAAAAGTCAGTGTAAATGGAAAGAGCCTACTAATTGAAGAATGTCCAAGTATTCTGCAAACTTAGACAAAGAAGAAGAACTGTTTCATTAGACATCACAGGTGCATTATCCATCAGACTTGGCATTGTGAACATATTCAGAAAAAAAACAAGTAGGTCACATATTAAGAGCTGTCAATCAAAGTAAAAATAAATTCTCTCACATTATAGGGTGGACCCTGGTGAACGTTTTGGTTTTCAACGCTAAATTGATGTACTTAGGTTTGCTGGAACCCCAGCAACTAAATCAGATTTGCATTTCCCACACCCTTCTTTAAAATCTTCCAATCAATTACCTGTACATCTCAATGGCTCTTTCATCTTCTTCATTGAATTCATCCTCATTCTCCTCTAGCTCCTCAAGGGTCATGTCTTCATATGTTTTAACTGTCAGGAAGAAAGCAGATTTGTTATCTGAATATGCTGAAAACATCACATTTTAAAAAAAAAGTGAACCTTTAAGCATGCATTAAAGGGGTACTCTCCTTCTGTACGAAGATACACAGCACATGTTTTATTTAGAAATGGAGCAGAGAAACCATGGGCTGAATCTCGTGCTCGGTTGCCCATGTCCAAATGTTTTGAGGGTTTTTTGCCATGTGGCCAAAGGGATTTTCCTGCTGTATCTTGCCAAAAAACACCTAATTATCTACCTACCACCCCTGTGGTGACCCTCACATCCAATTCTAGACATACCACTCGCCTTTCCCAACAACCACCATACAACAGATATCCCAGAAAACTTTAGTATCCCTCAAGCCCACACCATCCTTAAAGGTCATTGTGTAAGCACTGTCAGTCCAGAGCTGCCCTGTAAAGTTCCTGACATTTTGACATGGATATGGCAGACAAAGGGAGGATCTGCACTTTGCTGTGAAGGCAGGGACCTGGAGCTCCTGTTGGATGGCGTGCGGCACAGGTTTGGGGCCTTACTCTTTCTCCAGTAAAGTGAAGTGAAAGCCATGAAACCAGACTATTCCAGTCTGGTCTGAGGTTGCCTCTTGGCTCAGTACAATCTCGGCCATTTGAAAGAATGCCCAGCACTGTAGGAAGGAGGGCAAGGCCTTGTCCACTCCGCCAAAACAAGTTCCATCACTTTCTCTCAGATACCTCACCCTACCTCCGCTACCGCACCTACCTCCCACCAAGGCTTGACCACCCTCATGAATGCCTGCAATATCGTCCTTCATTCACTGCCACCCACACCAATCCCCAACTAACCCTGCCACCTAAATCACTTGCTTGGGACATCTCCCGAACTAGACCAGAAGTAACAGCCTTGCCACCTGCTTTCATCTCCCTTGATACCTGCCTCTCTGTCTCTCTCTCTCTCAATCCAGGAGACAAATGGTCCCCATTAGGGCAGAAAATTCAAGACAGGCGGTAGGCTGCTTGACATTCAGCTCTGGTTTCCATGACGAGTTTTCTCGATGTGTAGCTTGTTTGGCTGAATATTAATGAGGCAAGTTGGGTCATCGACAGTGCCTCTACCATGCAATAATTCCCTTGAATTGGCAACTCACTGCTGCCGAGCAAGAAGCTAGAGGCATAAAAGATGCAGCAAGATGCTCCTGGGGTCAAGACTGGCCTATGGGACTTCATCAGATTCTTCCATGAATCTGACTGTAGCCCATGTTCCATCCCAAATGACATTTTACTCGTTGAGAATATCTATTTCATGGCTCATGTGTTTTAGAGCATAGGTTTAAGTTTTTGGCATTAATGTCTTAAATGTGATGAATGTAATTAAAATAAGCTTGGAGTCTATTACACTTAAAAAGTTGGGCCAGTTTGACTTACAAGTTAACAGCTAGAAAGGGGAGATCATCAAACTTGGACTTAAGTAGATACCAACTGCAAATGTAATGTCTGCAAATCTTGTAGTAATTGCACTCTGGGGAAATGCTTCTGCTCAGAGAGGAGCAGCCAACTTTGTTTAAAACATTCAGTGGATCCTGAAAGACTGTAAAACCCATGTATTAGACCAAAGAAGAAACTGTAAATGAAAAATCATTAATCTATAGGCTGGTTTGAGGATTATCCATTGCAGGCAGCATCATATGGAGATAAGGGAGCATAGGGGAATTCTCTGGGCATTTGTTAGCATATTTATTTTGTGGTTTGCAACACACTGAAAGAAAAAGAGAAAAATGACAGTTATCCAGACCCGCACTGTAAAGTGAGTTTTTTAAAAAAAACATTAACAGTGTGGAATCCAGGTGAGGTGTGATCTCAATTTAAATTTTGTGATGGAGCAAAATCTGGAGGGTTGTATAGTTTCAATCTACAGTGGTCCTCCACATGCTTGTGAAACATAAATCTGCTGTATTAGCTGTACATTAACAGAAAACTGATCACGACAAGGGCATGAGACATCCACAGTCAAAGTAGGATAAATAGAACATTTTCCCTCGAAGAATAGGTGGAGTTGAGAATTTTCTAGAGGATCGCGGCATCTTACAAAAGTATATAATTCGAAAAGAACTTTTAGGGGAAGTAAGAAATAAATGAGTCCATGACATTCGTGATTATAAACCATACTGTTGTGTTCTCAGTGTTTATTTTACCTTTTTATATAAACTTTTTATTCAGAAAAAAGTGAAATATTATGGTGTACTTCTATTGATTGAAGCAAGATTTTAAGCGTTTTCTTTACAGCTTAACAATCCTTAACTGAGTTCAAACAACATCTTCCACTGATGATAATATTGCATTTGTGTTTTTATCAAGTTACTTATTTGCTTGTATAGAAATTCAAGAAGGTTTTGCTAAAATAAGTAAGCCAAAGCCAGCGACAGTCTGGAACTACGTAATACAGCAAGTTTAAATATCATCTTTTCACCTCTGACGTAGACTTAGTCAGAGTGCTCACAGGATAGACAATGGAGAAATCAAAATTTTTTATTCATCTGCATGACATGAACAATGTGGATAGCTCACACTTATCAAAATAAGCCAATCTAACCAAGCTGGCTAAAACCTGAAAATTATATCAGCAGCAGGTGGTGAGAAATACAAGAGGGAAAACATAATTACCCAGGTCTTCAATCTATTGTTACAAATGCATCGGTATCTGTCCATGATAATATCAGTAAGGAGTGACTAGCGTACGTTTCTGAGTAGCCGAGAATACGTCCTGTTTTTACATAGCAGCTAGCCTCCATTTTGCTATATGGAACTGTTGCTATGTTATACATGATAGACTCAGAACAGACCCAGAAGGTCAAAACTGGGCATCCATGAGCCTTCAGCAGGGGCTGATCTGTACTTAACAATAGTGTAATTTCACTGCCTGCCCTGTTTCTGCTCCATGTTCCCATCAAGTCAGGGTTCAATTAGGAGTCCAGAATGGCATGCCTGCAGTAGGACCAGGTATCCCTAAAACGAAGATATCGGCCTGGTGAAATTATAATATAGGACTATATCAATGCTGAACAGAAGAAGTAGCACTAAGACAATGTTGAAAATTGTCCAAGTAATCCTGTCGACAAAAAGCAAGGAAAATCCATCCCAGCCAATTACTGCTTCACTGGTCCACCTACAATTATCAGAAAAACTGATGGAAAGTGCTACTAAGCGACACACATTCAAAACCAGCCTAGTTACAAATGCTTACTTTGAGTTCTGCCAGGACCAAGGGTTGGGTAGGTTGGGCCAGTACTCATTGGAGATTAAAATAATGAGCGGAGACCTATTGAAATATCCAAAGTTCTCAAGGGAATTGACAGAGTAGAGGATAGTGAGGGAGCCCAGGATCAGAGGGCATAATCTCAGAATAAAGGGTCGTCCTGTTAAGACAGAGATGAGGAGAAATTTCTTCTCTCAGAGGGTGGTGAATGTGTCGAATTCTCTACCACAGATGGCTGTTGAAGCTGGTCATTAAGTATGTTCAAGGCTAAGATAGACAGATTTTTAAATCAGCAACAGGAAACAAAAATAATCAAGAAAAGTGGAGTTGAGAATTGTCAGTCAGTCACAACCTTATTGAATGGCAAAGCAGACTCAAGCACCTTCTGTTCCTACTTCTTATGGTCTTGCCTCGCCTGCAACACACAAACCAATAACAAATTAAACGTCTTCACCTACCAACTGGTTTCTGGTGCTGAATGAGCACCTCCTCCGCTGCCTCAGTTGGATCCTCTTTGGGAGGGAGGATGCCCTTTTTCCGTAAAATGTCATTCCATTCAGTGTCTGCATTTGGATCCTGAAGTAAAAGAAAAGGAAACCAGTACAAGCATTTAGGACACATTTGTACATCCTACACTCATCACAACAACAACCTCACTGCAGGGGACGAATACGTTCTTTAAATAGCTCACAATACAGTAGCTTTAACAACCTCTCCTCGTAGCCTATAATTGAGACAAGGGGGCACTGAAGCAGAGTTTGCCTCTGCACACTTTTCACTTGAAGGAAAAAAAGTGTGAACATCAGCAGAAGGTCTAGAATCAAGACAGTGGAAGTGACTGGCAGTGCTTGAAGAGATGCAGCACGGAACTTTGTCACATTGTAGCCTCTTTTCCTTTCTCACTTCCATCCTGCTTTCCTTACTTAATGGCAAACCACAGATACCTACTGGCACCCCTTCTTTCTTCGATGTTCTGCACTTTACATTCATGTGCTGAAAAAACAAGTAGAAGCCTATTGCTCACTTATGCTGCTTCATTCTATTCACAGAAAAGGATGTAATTTTTTTTTCTCTTTGGCTTCTGTGATATGAGAATGCACAGACAATCGGACGAGCGCACAGAATTTTCAACCCAGAAACAGCCTAGAGCTTGTGTGTCAATTATTCTTGTGCCCATGCCACTTCATTCAGCCTATCATTCCATTCCTTTCTCCACTGTGTACTTACCTTCCTCTTAAAAGCAACTATGCTATATTTGCTACCAAGTGGTAGCAGATTCCACTCTAGGTAACTCAGTTTTTGAGAACTCCATTTTAGGTTTGTTAGTGACAAATTAACAATGTGTTTCAAAATAAATGCTAACAAAGTGGGTACAATTCCTGCTTGCACTGCCCCTAAAAAGTGGAAAGCAATAGCAAAGCACCACATACAAGAACTGCCAAGAAAACAGCTTGGGGTGAAACATTAGGTAACAACAAGTGCATGACTGGCTTTCAAACACAGTGCATACAACATGACATGATTTTGTCTCTGCTGACCTCTAGCTTTAGCTCTCCCAAAGTGAAAACTGTCAAATCCCTTCATAATTTTAAAGGCTACTATTAGGTCACTCCTTAGCCACCTCATTTCTCCAAAGAGTCAGAGCCATATAGCATGGAAACAAACCCTTTGGTCCAACTTATCCATGCCAACCAGGTTTCCCAAACTAAACTAGCCCCATTTGCTTGCGTTTGACCCATATCCCTCTAAACCTTTCCTATTCATGTACCTGTCCGAATATCTTTTAAATGTTGTAACCATATCTGCCTCTACCACTTCCTTTGGCAGTTCATTCCACATACGAACTATGCTCTGCTTGAAAAAATCCCCCTCACATCCCTTTTAAAATCCTTCTCCTCTCACCTTAAGCCTCTAGTTTTGAATTCCCCTACCCTGGAGAAAAGACCTCAGCTATTCACCTTATCTATGCTCCTCATGATTTTATAAACTTCTATAAGTGTCACCCCTCAATGTCTTATGCTCCAGGGAAAATAGTCCCAAGCTCTCCCTATAGCTCAAACCCTCTCACCCTGGCAACATTCTTGTAAATCTTTTCTGCACCCTATCAAGTTTCACAACATTCTTCCAATAGCTGAATTGGAATGCAGTAATCCAAAAGTAGCCTAACCAACATCCTGTACAGCACAACATGACCTCTCAACTCCTTTATTCAATGCACTGACCAATAAAGGCAAGCATACCAAATGCCATCTTCACTACCCTGCCTACCTGCGACACCAGTTTCAAGGAACTATGTACTTACACCCTTAGATGTTCGACAACACTCCCCAGGGCCCTACCACTAACTGTGCAAGTTATGGCCTGGTTTGTTTTACCAAAATGTATTACCTCGTATTATCTAAATTAAACTCCATCTGCCACGTCATCCTATTGGCCCAGTTCATCAAGATCCCGTTGCACTCTTAAATAACCTTCTTCACTGTCAACAACACCACCAATTTTGGTATCTTCTTCCCCCATCTATCTTCTTGGTCACTTCCTCAAAAAACTCATTCAAGTTTGTGCGACACGATTTTCCATGCACAAAGCCATGCTGACTATCGCTAACCAGTCCTTGCCTCTCCAAATACATGTAAATCCTATCAATCAGAATCTCTTCCAACAACTTACCTATCACAGACATCAGGCTCAGCGATCTACAGTTTTCAGGCTTCTTCTTACAGTCTTTCTTAAATAAAAGGCACAACATTAGCCACCCTCCAGTCTTCCAGCACATCACCTGTGTTGTAGATGATACAAATATCTCTGCTAAGGGCCCTGCAATTTCTTTGCTAGCTTCCCACAACATCCTGGGCCACACTTGATCAGGTCTCGGAAATTTATTTATCTTTATGCTTTTTAAGACCTTTAGCACTTCTCCTTCTGTAATGTGGACTGTTTTCATGACATCAATATTTATTTCCTCGAGTTCCCTAGCTACCATGTCTTTCTCTACAGTAAATACTGATGCAAAATATTCGTTTACGATCTCTCCCATCTCCTGAGATTCCACACAGAGATGGCCTCATTGATCTTAAGGGGCTCTATTTTCTCCTTAGTTGCTCTTTTGCTCTTAATGTACTTGTTGAATCTCTTTGGATTCCGCTTATCCTTACCTGTCAAGGCTATGTAATATCCCCCTTCTGCCTTCCTGATTTCCCTGTTTAGTATGCCCCTATGTGGATGTACCTACTAAAGGAGTGCAAAACATGACTGACTCTTGGGAAATAAGGCAAGGCAGATGACTGAGATGTCAGTGGGGGAGCACTTTGGGGCCAGTGACCATAATTCTATTAGTTATAAAACAGTGATGAAAAAGGATAGGCAGGATCTAAAAGTTAAAGTTCTAAATTGGAGGAAGGCCAATTTTGACGGTATTAGGCAAGAACTTTCAAAAGTTGATTGGGGGCAGATGTTCACAGGTAAAGGGACGGCTGGAAAATGAGAAGCCTTCAAAAATGCGATAATGAGAGTCCAGAGACAGTATGTTCCTGTTAGGGTGAAGGGCAAGGGTTGCAGGTGTACGGAATGCTGAATGACTAGAGAAATTGAGGTTTTGGACAAAAGAAGGGAGCATATGTCAGGTAGAGACAGCAGGGATTGAGTGAATCTCTGGAAGAGTATAAATGCAGTACGCGTATATTTAAGAGGGAAATCAGAAGAGCAAAAGGGGGCATGAGATAGCTTTTGCAAATAGGGTTAAGGAGAATCCAAAGGGATTCTACAAATACATTAAGGACAAAGGGGTAACAAGGGAGAGAACAGGGCCCCTTAAAGTTCAGCAAGGCCGCCTATGTATGGAAACGCAGGAGATGGGCAAGATACTAAACAACTATTTTGCATCAGTGTTTGCTGTGGAGAAAGATATGGAAGATATAGAACATGGGGAAATAAACAGCAATATCTTGAAAAATGTCCATATTACAGAGGAGGAAGTGTTGGACGTCTTAAAATGCATAAAGGTGGATAAATCCCCAGGATTTATTTCAGTGTACCCAGGACTCTGTGGGAAGCGAGACGAGAAGTGATTGCTAGGCCCCTTGCTGAGATATTTGTATCATCAATAGCCACAGGTGAAGTGCTAGAAGACTGAAAGGTTGGCTAACGTTGTGCCACTATTTAAGAAAGGTTATAATGAGAAGCCAGGGAACTATAGACCCGTGAACCCGACATCAATGGTTGGCAAGCTGTTGGAGGTAAATCCTGTCCCTCAGGATCCCATGTATTTGGAAAGGCAAGGACTGATTAGGGATAGTCAACACGGCTTTGTGTGTGGGAAATAGTGTCTCACTAACTTGATTGAGTTTTTTGAAGAAGTAACAAAGACAATTGATGAGGGCAGAGCAGTGAATGTGATCTATATGGACTTCAGTATGGTGTTTGACAAGGTTCCTCACAGTAGACTGGTTAGCAAGGTTAGATCACATGGAATACTGGGAGAACTACACATGCGGATACAGAACTGGCTCATAAGGTAGAAGACCGAGGTTGGAGGGTTGCTTTTCAGACAGGAAGCCTGTGACCAGCGATGTGCCACAAGGATCGGTGCTGGGTCCACTGCTTTTTGTCATTTATATAAATGATTTCGATATGAACATAGGAGGTATGGTTAGTAAGTTTCCTGATGACACTAAAATTGGAGGTGTACTGGACAGTGAAAAAGATTACCTCAAAGTACAATGGGATCTTGACTGGTTGGGCCAATGGGCCGATGAGTAGCAGATGGAGTTTAATTTAGATAACTGAGGTGCTGCAGTTTGGAAAGGCAAACCAGGGCGGGAATTATAAATATAATGGTAAGGGCCTGGGGAGTGTCACTGAACAAAGAGACGCTGAACAAAGTAGAGTCGTAGTTATATAGGATAGTGATGGCGGTGTTTGGTATGCTTGCCTTTACCGGTCAGTACATTGAGTATTGGAGTTGGGAGGTCATGTTGTTGCTGTACAGGACATTGGTTAGGCCATTTTTGGAGTATTGCGTACACTTCTGGTCCCGCTGCTACAGGAAAGATGTTGTGAAACTAGAAAGGGTTCAGAAAAGATTTACGACGATATTGCCAGTGTTGGAGGGTTTGAGTTATACAGAGAGGCTGAATAGGCTGGGGCTATTTTCCCTGGAGCATCAGAGGCTCAGGGGTGACCTTACAGAGGTTTATAAAATCATGAGGGGCATGGATAGGGTGAATTTTTCCTGGGGTGGGGCGAGTCCAAACCTAGAGGGGATAGGTTCCATGTGAAAGGGGAAAGATATAAAAAGGGACCTAAGGGGCAACTTTTTCATGCAGAGGGTGGTGCGTGAATGGAACAAGCTGCCAGAGGAAGTGCTGGACACTAGTACAAATACAACATTTAAAAAGGCATCTGGAAGGATTTAGAGGGATATGGGCTAAATGCTGGCAAATAGTTCTAGATTTATATAGGATATCTACCAGCATTGCGGAGTTGGACTGAAGGGTTTGTTTCCATGCTGTATATGTCTATGACTCTACTCCCTTTATACTCTTCAAGAGATTCACTTGATCTCAATTGTCTATACC